GCCAAATAAACATTGTATTGAATATCAGTGTTGCAATTAGTCTTATAGCCAATTTACTATAGTTAAACCACTGGAAAGCATTGGTGGCACTAAACAAAAACAAATTGGTTTATAATCTCACAACCTTCACCTTTCTGACATTCTGAGACTCAAACAAATTCAGCGCCTTCTGTGCTTTGATTGTATTTGTTTTCCAAAGGGAAGAAAGACGCTTTGCAACCAATGTTTGATAAAAGTTGTTATAAACCTTGCATTGGCAGATATGATAATACTCATTTTCGCTGAAGAAAATGGACGATATTCTTCAACTAGCCATTGCCAAAGTTTTTTCCCAATCACTTTAAGACTTTGGATCCTTCTAATATATGCCTTGAATCAGCTAAACCTTACACATTCATTTGTTTTGTTTTTATTTCCGTAAATAAACGATGGATTACAATGGGGAAAGTAAAACCTTTTACAAAAACGTGTTTTGTAAGGGTACTTGGTATTTTCCTTGCAATGTATATATGTAAATATGTAAAACGTTTCGTATTAGAACAAAACTGTCAAGTTAGTTATCAGAAGAGAGGAAGTGTATATGGCTTTCATATGAGTTTCTGTTGCGGATAATTGTTATTGATATTGTGATAGAAAATGTCGAAGATGATGTTTTCCATACTTTGATGTAGAAGTGCATCACGATGTCTAAGTTATTATCACTTTTTTATTCATTTATGTACTTATTTATGTATTTATATATTTATTTACGTATCTATTTACTTAATATACACTTATTTATTCATTATTATTTATTTATTTATTTATTTATTTATTTATTATATCTATTTTGTTTTATAAATATTACCTCTTTCATAAATGTATTTTCTCAAAATAAAATTTTTATGACTATGTCAGAGTTTAAAAATAATAATTTAAGGAATTTACTCCACTAGGTATATGTATTTTTGTGATATCATTAATAAGAAAAACAGATGAATTAAAATTACAGTATTGTTTGCCAGTATATAATCAAGAGTATGTTTAGATATAGGAATTAAAAAGTAATTTATAATGAACTTTTCTGAGAAAAACTTTTAATGGAAATATACAATATGAAATACCAATCAATTGAGAGTTGCAGCACTTTGAAATCAGTTTTGATAGAAATAAATATCATCGCAAAAAGGTTATTTTCGGCAATGATGAGATTTCCCCTCGTTGCCATGGTAAGACTATGGTCCAGTCACCATTTGTGACATGTTTGATCAGTATTAAAGAATAATTGATAGTTAAATAGCAATTTGAACTGGTAAAAGGAGGCTTTTCAATGAAAAACAGCCATTTGTCACCAAATGCTCACGCGGTTATGTGCAATATACCTTTTCATTTAAAATAAATTCCGCTTCTACTCCCATAATTTTTTAGAATGTTTATGCAAATTTGTCATGTTCCAACAACGAAATTCGATTATATATCTAATTTAAGTGATATCGAATTTCACCCACAGCTGCATGTAAAATTGAGATTATAAAACTAATAATTATAAAGTAACTAAAAATTCACAGTGACAGATTCGATACATGATAAAGGGGAGATATTTTAAAGTTGGTCATGTTGGTATACGCAGCGGTGCATGTAATATCACATCATGTGTCTATTATCTTCTGTTAATTATACAAGTAACTGATTATTTCATCAATCATTACTTCAGAACTAATGTGAATAAAAACCATTTTGTATTCAAATTGGTTTTAAAAGCTAGCCTTATAAACATGCAACAATACGTATTGATGTTTGAAATTTATACAACTAGGTGTAGTCAGTTGAACAAATGCGTCAGCTTTAAATTGTTGAATTACCTACAAAGACTATTGAAAACTTTCAACATTGTACAACGTGTTTAAATCTCGATGCTTTATTTACTTACCATTAAATATAAAACGATTTGAAAAAACACCTGCTCGGTTAAATATAATGTTTAACATAATAATATTTTTTTATTTAATGTAAACATTCACATAATATTGTCAAAGAAACATGGCCCAATATACTTGCAAACTTACCTGACAGTGCAAATAGCATGCTCTCTGTAAATGATATATAACTAAGGTTGCACGGGATTTCATTACTAGACTTAGGACAACGTTCGCAGAAGTACAACCATTGTTTAATTTAGAGTTCTGGACCTTTGGAAGTTTTCAGGTAATTTTAGCACATTTCATAAATTCTGTTGGAATGCTTATTAAATAATCTTCGAAAATGTAACTTAGTATTTTAAACGATATTACAGAAGATCGTGGAATCTTTACCAAAGTAAGACAATATAAAAATAAATTATATTCAGTATTCAAAGAAAGATCGGTGAAGTACAAACTCGTTTGATTGTAAATTACTTTGTCGATGATCACACCACGTTAGAAACTATGTAATTTTATTCTTGGTTTTTCGATGTCGTTTTGAAGTTAATTGACACAGTCAAATGAACAAATCTTCACTTGTTTCAAAGCATTCAATATAATATTATTTTAAAAGTAGACTTTATGTGAGAAATTAAATTCTATAAGCCTATGTCTGTCATCCTAATCCTACTTCGAAAACATATAAGAAATGTTTTGTGTATATTGTAAACTGTAACGAGTTTATATGTTCGGAGACATAAAACATATTGAATGTTAAGTAGACTGTTCATGTACCATAACTGTTTTAGTTCTATGGCGACTTCAAGCTTTACTCGTGGAAGAAGACCTCAGGTACCCCTCTGTGCGTTATTTCACGACCGTGAACCTGAGTAAAATCATCGACGTTTCATTTGTTAGCCGGATAGTTTTCTCACATTGCGGAATCCGACGATACTTGATATCAATACATTGTGTTTGCAATATGCACATCTTTATCAACATGTCAACGTCTTCCAACATGTCAATTACCCTTCCACAATAATACACTCAAATTTCCCCCAAAAAAATGTATATTTTGAGCATCATGCATGACTATGTTCAACATATTTGACTTGTATTCTAGTGAAAGTTGATATATTAAATGATATTCACCGGCATATAAATAGTTCTTTGCTTTAGTAAAATCATTTGATGCTTTAACTGTGTCTGCTAATTTATTAGAAATGACATCTATAATAAGTTCTTGTTTTTGCTCGATATAATAAACAAATATATTGGACTGTGCTTTCATACACTGCCACGTGCTATCTAACCGCCATTTAGTTATCTATATGATTTATATCCGATTAAAAATTATTAATGCAAATGAACTATATAGGCGTGGAAAATACGTGAATGTCTTGTTAGCAACAAATTGTCGTTCGTGTTTTCAAGCTGTTCTCACAACCTTAAAATAACAAAATAGAATGAATATTATTTGCGCAACTACTTACATATAAGCATGTATTCATGCAGATTGTAAGGTATTATGATAATGAGATTAATGACTCAACTAAATTTCAGTTTCGTGAATTTAACTTGCCTAAAAAGTGATTGATTAGTAAGTTTCTTTGGTTTCTTAAGGCTGTTGACAAACCGTATCAGTCATACTCGATTTTGGATATGAAGTAAATGCGATTCTTTTTTTCCCATCTTAGAGAGGCAATTTGTCAATTTAAATCTTAAACCAGTTTATAAATATAATGATTGTCAAGAAAAACACCGTTTTTAACCTTATCTTTAATTGCCAGTTTAAAGTGTATACGCACGTTTTGTATAAATCATATACTGCCGAAAGGAATACAAAAAAAATATTTACATTTTACATTTAACACACATCGAAAAAATTATACTTGTGAAGTGTGTTTGATATCCACTAGAAACACGTATTTGTTTAACATAACCATTGGTAAGATACCCGAGCAACCGCAATAAAACTCACATAAAGTATTAGATCAATATATCATTTAACGAACTACTGTTATCGGTTTAATGAACCAAAAAAAATCGGATGTATAATTTTCAAGCAATACTTCGATTGTCGCATTAATGGGAAAAAAAACTATTTCTAGTTTAAAGCATGTTTAAACATTTAAATACGCATGGAAATAGGGCCAGACCCTCTAATTGTGCATGCAACATCCTGCGAAGCTAAGACAGAGTCCCATAGAAGCCAGTTGGAAATATCAAGTCAACCCACTTTGTAAATTTTAAAAAATAAATTATAAAACTGATTACAAAACTTCGAAACAAATATTGTCTATATTAACCCCAAGTAAAATATAAGGATCTATCATGGTCACTTGTATCAATTATTCACTTTGTCAATATTATTTTTGATAAAAAGTAATAATAACAGAAAATATGAATGCCAAAAATTTGTCGTTACAAAATTATTTAACCCATTACGCGATAAACACGCCCTTTAAACGCCATTTTCATCCCTTTTTGTTGTCTCAAATGGTGAAAAAATGTCTTACTTAGGCCCAAACACTTGTTTTTGTTTGAGAATTGTTGTTTCAAAAAGTGACCTCTGTTTCGGCGCTACCCCTATTTAAAGATACGCCAGGGGGTAGCCAGAAGGGGGTTGTGCCCCCTTTTGTTTAGGGGCTTTGTGGGCGGCAGCCCCCCTCATCGCCAAGAATATTTTGGACTTGTGAGAGGCTTAAAATAACCTTAGGCCGATCATAAGGTAACATATAACCAACGCTGAAAAGCATTTGACTACCTCAATCCGTTTAGAAGTTACAGCACTATGATTTAAAAAGAAATCAACGCAAAATATTGATTTTTAGCAATTTTGAGATGTGGCCTCGTTGCCATGGTAACAGGAAATTTAAGACTGAGCATTTCGTTACAAAGGCAATGATCCAGTCAACATTTGTGCTAAGTTTGAACTTGTATTAAAGCAGTTTTTATAGTTTTATAGCAATTTGAACTTGTAACGGGAGACTTTTCAATGAAAACAGCCAACAAAATGATCATGCAGTAATTGGATAAAATAATTGAATTTAATTAAAGATGTTCTGATTTATCATGATCGTTGCATGTTGTATTAAAACTTTCTTTTCCATCACTTAAAGGAATCATGGGAGTTGACATTCAAACATATCGAGCAAGGATTGGTAGTTACAGGCATTACAGATGTAGTGGTGCAATTGACAGTTGCAGAAGTTTCCGGGGTATTGATGTGGCGATTAAAGTCAGCAATGACCTAAAAACTGTTGGTTGCGTGTTTTTTATTGGTGTTCTTTTAATACTTGCTGGGGTTGAACCAAACCCAGGTCCGAGGGGAATAGGTAAATATTTGCAAAAGCATACGAAAAATACAAAATATACTTATTTAAGCATGACTGTTTTACTATGCACTCGCTTATTATTGTAATACTTTAAAATATGTTTGGGAAAAACAAAAACAAAAACCTTTTAACTGGAAAAATATATTATAAATATGTATATATTCTATATAAAATCAGCTGAAATTACTAACATAGTTTCAAAAGGCGTTTAAACAAACATTTCATACCTTCACATGGAAGAAGTTTCTAGACAGTGTGTATCATGCTTTCTTTGCATTTGTTATTTTCAAATTCCTGTACCTTGTAAAAATATGGATAATATATGTCATGTCTTATATTAAAGTTTGCGAAAGAATTACACAATGTTATAATCATTTGCTGAATGGGTTATTTCCGTCAATTCAATTTATCTAATAACAATGCTGTATGAAGGTTTTACATTTACAGATACTGCCAGTTACCAATGCGATGAGGTTGTGGACGTTGTAAAGGGCACAAAAAGGAGTGTAGATGGTAAATTGTCAAATTTCATACTTTACATGCCTTGTTCTGTTGTTTTTTTTGTATTTTATAATTGAAGACGTTACACATAATTTTAGGTTACAACCTGATATATGAGCTGATTGAAGATGGTTTAATTTTCTCTTTGTTACTAACTTAAAGGTGTTTTATCAAAATTGTATATCTTTTCTAGATCTCTTGTTTCACCTACACCATCCTCTAAACCAATGGTTACAAAGTACTTATTTTGACTTCCGTATGATTGCTCATCAGAACGTCAGAACCAAATCCGAAATTAAGTTAGTTATAGTACACGATAGACTATACATTTATCAGACTACATTACTTTATATGTCATAAAGTTTTACAAGAAAGACGCGCAAGCCAGTTAGCTTTCAACATTTGATTTTGAGGGTAGTGTAAATCAGATGAATATTATGTTGAAGGATATAGAAAATGAGATAATATATTTGATATTTTACATCATTACATTTCTCCTTCATGTCCATACTTAAATCATATTTTACCATCAGATATGTTCTGGATATTCCAAATTAACTATGGGGTCTATAAAGAACGTTTGTTTGGTAAATTTACGTTCCTATGACCAATCTTGCTACACAGACTTTTATCCATTTATTTATTCTGATGATATATCAAAGTTCGTGTTGATGAATCGTTGCCTTAACAGTTAATGGCGTTTTATTAACAGTTAACGGTGTGTTACTTTTTCTAACTTACTGTTTGTAAAAATTTTTGTTCTGCCATTGGAATTGCTTCCGACCGCTCTGATAAAAACAAGTTTCTTGAAAAATAATCCAGGAAGAACTTCCGTAATCGCTACCGATACTCTCTCTATCTCCGAATGAAAAAAAAGAAAACAGTTTGCATTTATTGTGATATACTGTGCATATATTATCTTCGTTCCTTTGCTTTCATTGACCGTTACACTTATGATTCATCGATATAAGTCGATATGTCCTAAACATATGGTTTGTTTTGTGCCATTAACAACTCGTTGTATCTTGCTCTCTTTAAAGCAAGGTATCGGCGTAAAGAAAGATGAAATCCACAATGCAGACTACATCTTTTTCCTATTTTGACTATGATTATATTCAATTTAGTCCAATCAGACCAGTGAAGTTGGCATGTTTTATAGGATATTCCTCTCGGCTATAAAATATTCCTGAAAATAAAATCAACGTCGTGTTGCATGTGCAAAATTTGTCAAAGGTTTGTTACAAGGTGTAGGTTTTGTCCGGCTGATATGTTGGTTCGTCATTTTCTTTGTAATGAAGTTTTTTTTATACTTGCACGGAGTGGTGCCCCGCTCGAGAGTTAATGGCCTGCTAGGAGGAATACTTCCAAACTTGTGAACATGCATGAGATATGCAACAGCAGGTTTGAGGTTGCATTAAGACGTGCCAATGACTAGAAAAAGGTATAATACACGAGCGTGTACGTACATGAGGTTTTCGTTACACGAATTTATTTTGATTAGAGCTATGGCCAGGCATATACGTGAGAAAACGCATTGCGACTCCCGATTCAGCTTCATTGCGAGGGGATTTTCCGTATCTTAATTCTATAGAAGTTGGTGCAAAACCACTGAGAAGATAGTTGCAAAAGTAGCTTATAAATCTGTCACAGAACAACATTTCACGCAATAGAACAATAATAAGTCTTCTTCAGAAATATTTTTATTATATTCATGAATCGAAATATCAAGCTGTGAATATACAAGATTTTCAGGCTCATTCTACCCATGCCATTTTCAAATATAATTTCTAATATTCCTTTGTAGTTACGACGGGGGCATGGACGTAGAAAACATTTTTAAATGCCTTTGCCTTTTGGCTCTGGGTTGTTTTTAAATGTGTCTAAGGGGAATAAATAGAAGCATGCAAGGAAATGTTATTATATTTGCACATTGTTCCTTCTACCAATGCGCTTTGTCATTGTTAAAATGAAAGTAAAGTCCTAAGGTACTTTCGAAGTATTGCCGCGGGCGAAACTTTTAAGTAAAGCTGCTAAAATGTAATAACTCTAAAAATTTGAAACGTAAAGATTTTGGCTTTGCTTACCGCATGTGTTTTATTAATGTATTAAGTTTAGAATAAAATGCACTCTTTCAGCTATGCTTGTGAAAATGTGTTCAAGTAAATCTAAAACTCTTGAAGTAGGCAATGTAGGGTCCTTGTTCTTACACACTGCCCTTACTCCAGGACGGAGACCATTTCTAATATTCCCTTCGTCGGCTTTGGCGGGGATAAAAAGAAGCCGTTGTTAGTCTAAATTTGGACTCCTATCCTAATTGCATGATATAATATTGTTAATTTATTCGACACCATTAAACATCCTTAAATAGAAAATGATGTTGCTAACAATTTTTGGAAATATAATAAGTACTGTTATAAGACTTTACTTTGATTCATTTGTGTGACACACATTTGAAAGCTGATTTTTTTGAAGTTTTGAAAGAAACTTTATGCCAGACAGACAAACAGAAAATGTTCCTTCCACTCAATAAAAAGGTATGCGAGGATATTCAAAATAAATATATGTTCAGTCATATAAAGTTCAGGCAAAAATCTGCAAAATAAAACAACAAAACAAGAAAAGAAAAGAATTTCATTGAAAGATATACATAAGTATCAAGTTGGATTCATTTCATGATACGAGTACAATATTATAATATCAAACTACAAGATATAAATATACGCACATTATCGTGTTTTAAATCGCGTATTTAATATACAAAAAAGGCTGACATTTTCTACACTCAATGTAAAATCAGAAAGTTGCATGAACCTTTTTAAGGTGCTGAATCGATTATGAATAAGACACCAGCACAAGTATTCGGAAAGAAGGAACACATAGAAATAATAGCAACATTTTCAATATTGTCGATTTTGCTGCTCTTTAGGGATTCTGTTTCTCTATTTTATACAGTCATATGTATTGATAATGTAATATTACACGAAATTTTCTGTAGAAAGTATAATACAACTTTAGTTCAAATGGTCTTTTTTCATCATTATTACATCGCTTGTTTCGGTCATGTCGGTGAAACTAACGGCCATATATATTTGCAAACCATGCTTCTTCAAGACAAAACAAAATACGCTGTCAGCATTTAGAACGTTTTAAAACCTGTTGCTTCGAAAATGTTCCGTATCTTGTAATTGACATGTAATGTAAATCTGTAACCATTGATTTTTATTATTAATAATATATTTATTTGGATATTAAAGGTTGTCCATATTCATTCTATTCAAACTATTCATTTTTGTGGTCTGCATGATTTTTCATTTGGATGTGAAATTTTGTAAAATATCATAAAAATATCTATAATTTTGCAGCAGAAGAACAAATTATTAAATGAAATAATGCAAGTTTGGGGTTACATTTTCATTTTGCTTTGTCATTGAGCTATAATAATTGATTTTTATTTTTCGACGAATTAAATTGATTGGTTCTAAAGTAAATTTTTATGGTTAAAAAAAGAAGCAGCTTTAAACTGATATTTTATTAATGTAGGTGTTGAATTCAAAGGTTCAACTTATTTTCTATCTTTAGGTTTCCTAAACTTACGAATAAAATTAATAGAAAGGTTGAAACTTTGTATCTGGTCTTATATTTTTTCCACTTCCCTTATTATTAAAGTAAGCAATGTGAGATTTTTGGTTTTAACTGATACAATTAAAGCGTTCATTTTATAGATTGTAAAAAAACACATGTTAAGTAACATTCTTGTTTTTCTATTTACTTCATAGGACGTGACACACTGACTGAAGAGCCAACAAAGATTAAACTTTCCGGAGTATCGGTAGACATGAATAGGGCTATGTTACAACCAGTTTTGCAATAAAAACGAGTTTTGCAATAATTTTATTGCAAAACTCGTTGCGTTGACATGATTTTATTGCAATTTCATTACAACCGGTTTTGCAATAAAAACGATTTTTGCAATAAAATATTTTTTCTAACGGATTTTATTGAGATTATACAAAAGCATTATAAAATTTATCTATGTATATTAGGATTGACATGCAGGAATTATATTCGGGGATAATGAATACATATGCATATGATAAAACATTAATTTACATTCTCAATTTCATTAGTCTTTTTCCTTTTAATATATATGATGAAAGGATGATCATCATGAAATATCAGGACATGTCTATTTACAGCAACAACTCTTTTTGCTCAAATTTCGGTGATATATACACAAGAACTTTTAATAAGGTCTTAAATTACCGGTTCTTTGATGAAGATGTTGCGTTGACATGATTTTATTGCAATTTGATTACAACCGGATTTGCAATAAAAACGAGTTTTGCAAGAAAATATTTTTTCTATCCGATTTTATTAACTTTATACAAAAGACATTATAAAATTTATCTATGTATATTAGGATTGACATGCAGGAATTATATTCGGGGATAATGAATACATATGCATATGATAAAACATTAATTTACATTCTCAATTTCAATAGTCTTTTTTCTTTTAATATATGTGATGAAAGGATGATCATCATGAAATATCAGGACATGTCTATTTACAGCAACAACTCTATTTGCTCAAATTTCGGTGATATATACACAAGAACTTTTAATAAGGTCTGAAATTACCGGTTCTTTGATGAAAGAAAAAAAAACGAGTTTTGCAATAATTGTATTGCAAAACTCGTTGCGTTGACATGATTTTATTGCAATTTGATTACAACCGGTTTTGCAATAAAAACGAGTTTTGCAAGAAAATATTTTTTCTATCGGATTTTATTAACTTTATACAAAAGACATTATAAAATTTATCTATGTATATTAGGATTGACATGCAGGAATTATTTTCGGGGATAATGAGTATATATGCATATGATCAAACATTAATTTACATTCTCAATTTCATTAGTCTTTTTTCTTTTAATATATATGATGAAAGGACGATCATCATGAAATATCAGGACATGTACATTTACAGCAACAACTGTATTTGCTCAAATTTCGGTGATATACATACAAGAACTTTTAATAAGGTCTTAACTTAACGGTTCTTTGATGAAAGAAAAAAAAACGAGTTTTTGCAATAATTTTATTGCAAAACTCGTTGCGTTGACATGATTTTATTGCAATTTGATTACAACCGGTTTTGCAATAAAAACGAGTTTTGCAATAAAATATTTTTTCGATCTGATTTTATTGAGATTATACAAAAGCAATATAAAATTTATCTATGTATATTAGGAATGACATGCAGGGATTATATTCGGGGATAATGAATATGTAATATGCATATGCTCAAACAATAATTTTCATTCTAAATTTCATTAGTTTTTTTATTTTTAATATATATATGATGAAAGAATCAAACAATAAATAACATTATAAATTTCATTACATTTTTTTCTCTTTTAATATATATGATGAAAGAATGACCATCATGAAATATTAGGACATGTACAGTTACAATAACAACTGTAGTTTTGGACACTCGTGTGCTCAAATCTCAGTGATATACATACATGACATTTTAATAAGGTCTTTACTTACCAGTACTTCGAAGAAATAGAAAAAATCGACTTTTGTAATAATTTTATTGCGAAACTCGTTGCGTTGATATGATTTTATTGCAATTTGATCACAACCGGTTTTGCAATAAAACGAGTTTTGCAATAAAATATTTTTTCTATCAGATCATAGAATATCAGGATATGTACATTTACAACATCAACTGTAGTTGCTCAAATTTCGGTGATATACATACATGAACTTTTAATAAGGTCTTAACTTACCCATTCGTTGAAGAAAGAAAAAACGAGTTTTGCAATAATTTTATTGCAAAACTCGTTGCGTTGATAAGATTTTATTGCAAATTTATCACAACCGGTTTTGCAATAAAAACGAGTTTTGCAATAAAATATTTTTATATCAGATTTTATTGAGATTATACAAAAGACATTATAAAATGTATCTAGTATGTATATTAGGATTGAAAGGCAGGGATTATATCCGGAAATAATGGATATATATGCATATGATCAAACATTAGTTTACATTCTCTTTTCTTTTAATAGATATGATGAAAGTGATATATACATACATGACGTTTAAATCAGGTCTTTACTTACCAGTACATTGAAGAAATAGACAAATACGACTTTTTTATTACTTCAAAGCTTACAAGTACTTATACAAAAGTGTATACAATATTATTGCAAAACAAACTCGTTGCCATGACATATTTTTGTATGATTTTTTCACACCAACTTGTACGATAAAAACGATATTTGCAATAATAACCCGTTGCGTTGACATAATTTTATTGCAATTTATCCGAAGCAATTTAGCGCAAAAAAAACGAGTTTTGCAATAAAATATTTTTATATCGGATTTGATTGAGATTATACCGTTGACATTATAAATTTTTTATGTGTAAATAAGAACTTGAATGCAGGGCTTATATTCGGGTGTATTGTATACATGTATATGATCAAAACATTCTAAAAGATGCTTATTTTTTCTTTTAGTATTTTTGATGGAATAATGATCATCATGAAATATCAGGGCATTACATGTTAAACAACAACTGTTGATGATATTCTTACATGACCTTGTTATAAGGTCGAAACTTACCAGTGTTTTTCAGAATTTAATGATAACATTATTGCAAAACGCCTTGCAATGACATCATTTTGTTGCAATTTTTTCACAACAAGTTTTTAATAGAAACTAGTTTGGCAATAAAATATTCGCTATATCATATTTTTTTAGATTATACTCTAGACATTATAATGTTTATCCTTGTCTATATGGATTCACATGCAGGGATTCAATTCAGAAATATGCATATAAAATCTATGGTTAAAAATATTTTTATTGCAAATATGATAATGGAATGATTTTTATTGAAAATCAGCGCATTTACATTATCTGAAACAACGGTGCTTTTGCAAACTCTTTGGAGCAAAACTCTGTTCATGATATTGTTAAAGGGATATTCAGGCAAAATAATGTCAAAAATATTAAAATGATCTAATGTACTCAAATCAAGCTAAAATGACTTTTCTTGAAGTTTCAGCATGAATTTCTGTTTAAATTCTATATATTTTGGGTTTGAAGCATAAATATATCTATATATGTTGAACAAAATTTAGACGTCAATATAATCACCAAATAGTTTTAAACAAGTCAGGTGACTTGAACAAACCCTTGAAGTTACAATAACAGATATTCTGGATATTGTGTGATTGAAACAAGCCTAAGTTATTCATTTGACATGTTCTTTAAACGTTTCCAGAGTTCACTTTGACAACTATTGTGAAATGCTAGCGCTCCAACCTGACCCACGTGGGTCAAGTTAGGTAACCACTTTTTTATTCTTTATATATAGAAAAGTTTTGTTCCGTTGACTGTCTAATATATTTATTTTGAGGGCATTTGCAGAATAATGAATGAAAAATTCAAAACTAAGAAATGAAAATTTTGCCTGTGTCTCCCTATAAATTGTCGAAATTTACAAGTACTTTTGAAATGTGTTGACAACATTATTGCAAAACTCTTAACGATGAAGTTTTGCAATGAAATAAAATTAAAGGTTTTATGTCTACACCGTACTGAAGATATTATAGTGTAAACATATATTTGTACATCAGGATGTATATGTAGCGAAAAAGGTAAGGAACATAATGTCAAGTTTTGCCGTTAATTATTCGAAGTACAAACATGTCCGCGTTATGATTTAGAAACTTTAAACATTTTTCTCAAAAAGGTGTTAACTTTTGCATAACTCGATACAATGAAATATTGTGTACCAAACTCCTTTGGAGATATTTAAATGATGATATTTTTTAAATTAGCTCTTATATGTAGTTTAATTTTGCAATTAGGATTGATATGTGTTTAATCAATTCGGAAAACGAACACGATTGAAATATATCTGTAGTATTAAACAAAAATATGTTGTATTACCAAATATTTGAAAAAAGAATGATATTGTTGCGTTATAAGGTCATATTCTTTATGAACAACTGCCTTTTAATGAATTTATCTTGCGATGACAAAATTTTGTTGAAACTTCCTCTCTATGCTAAAAATGATTAAATTGCGGCTTTGAGGTATGATTACAGTTTCTTATGTCCATAGATTTAAATGTGTGTTCAGCAAAGCATGAAAATTACACGAAATTACACAAGTTTTGCAATTAAAATATTAGACAAATCTGTCTTATACTTTTACAATACAAGAGCGATCAGTGATCACATGTGTCGCCTCATGATGGCCAATTTCATGCTGGGACAAGTTTTGTGACAGACGGACAGACAGACGGACAGTGCACAACTAGACTTGGTACTGATCATTCCTGTAAAGTTTGGATAAAATTGCACCAGTAGTTTATGAGGAGTAGTCCGGACAAGCTTTTTTGTATCTGGCAACGCACAGAAAATCTCATTTTTCGATCCATATACTCATTAAAATACTCATTAAAAGAAAACAGATACATATATTGTAATTAATTCATCCTCGTGACCATATTAATATACACTGACATTTCACATTTTTTATGCTTCCATTTCAAGCGTATTCATTCTCGTATTAAATAAAAACTTAAGCTAAGTTGTTTCAAAAAAGAATATACAACAGGCCTGTATCTCTAAATCTATGATTTATCCTTATCAAGTGTCAACTTTTAGTTTCATATAATTGTTTTTCTAAGCTTTAAAAATGATTTCGCTCTGAGTGGTTAGTAAAACTGATTACCTACCGGCTCCTTTGTTAAAAGCGGTCTAGTAAATCACTTACCGACCGCTTTACAGGTCTGCAAATAGATACCGACCGTGTTCTATTGTTCTCTATACAAAAGAAA